AGTGTCCCCTTCCTTGTTGCTGACACGGCTCCCTTGCAGTCCGAATCCGTCCTCATTCAAAAAATCTACACACACTTCAAGAAAACTCCAGGAACACACAAATTGGGGGTCCTCTACGTCGTAGACTCTGTAACCCGCAAGTGGCTTGAACAAGCAAAGTCTCAGGGTCAGCCAATAAACAGCTCTGCCCAGGATGGCACATATGCCGCTGGAGTGCACCGAGTAACGGAACTGATGCCTGTGTTGATGAATGACATTCTTCAGTCCGCCCCAGAAGATCAAAAGGTACGTGTAATTCGCGTTTTAATCTGTATCGGTCGGGTGAAAACACACATACATGCACGCATGCACACACATACAGCGCTCCCGCTCGTAGGCGTCTGAACGTGCGCTTTGTTTTGTTGATATCCGGCATATCTGGTGAACCAAAAGCAAGATCCTTGCACTCGTTTTTTGGAGAAACTGAGTCTACGAGTGCAAGTCAGCATTGCTTGTCGGTCATCAGCCGCCTCTAGGAAATCTCCACATGAAATCGTATCTGAAGGGACTAGTAACTCACACTTTTTTTTTCTCGCCGTGTAGGAAAAGATCAAAAAACTGCTTGATATCTGGGAGAAGGGTCAGACCTTTCCCACAACCATGATAGAATCGTTCAAGGAGAAAGTCAACGCTCCCTCACCACCAAGTACGTCTCCTCATACGCCAGACACGGCTCATCGCAGTCCTCCCCAAGAGGCGTGATACTCCCAGCCAGCTGTGCCAGAATTCCTGTTTGAGCGAGCTCTTCTAACCTGCATACAGAATCAACCACTCCCCCAGGTAGCCCACCTCCTGGATTGGCAACTTCACTGCAGAACCAGGCGCAGAACAAGCCTGCACCAAACGGTTCGTCCATCTTGGAAGCCTTGGCTAATATTGCTCGCCAAAACACCTCGGCAGCACCAAGCAACCAATCCCTCCCAGCTCCCGCTGCATCGTATAGCATGCCTTCTGCTGCCTCCAACGCCCCTCCAGCTTCCGCCACTCCCCCGGGGCTGTCACAAGCCCTTGCTTCAGCGATCCCACAGCTTCAACCTCATCAGTCGTATCCCCCGGCTGCGCAGCCTGTAAATGTGTCGTCTCTACCTTTCTCGTTGACTCAAATGCTTGGTCAAAATGCTCCTTCAGCGATGCCAGCCAGTGCGAGTAACCCATCCAACCCATATGCGGCAGCGTCTGCAGCGCCTCCCGCCGGCGGAGCTGGTCTAGATCCGAACGTACAGCAGCAGATTATGCTGATCAAGGCCCTCGCTGATCAAGGCGTCCCCTTTGATAAGATTCCTGCTCTCATCCAGAGCATGACTGCAGCCACTGGAACTGGAGGCTTTCCTGCCTCACAGCCTCCCGCCCCTGTCCCCGCTGCCCAAGGCACCTTTCCATCGGCCCAGCAGCCATGGGCTACGGCTGCTTCGGGCCCTGCACCCGACCAGGGCTACCAGGACAGTGTAAGATCTCCTAGATATCGCGGCCGTTCACGCTCTAGATCACCTGAGCGCGGCTGGAATGCTCGCGGTTCTCCACGTGGCGGCCGCGAATATGGTCGTAACTCACCTCCCAGAGGACGTATGGATGATCGAGACCGCAATGGCCGAGGGGGCAATGATTACCGCCAGCGTAGCCCTCGTGGACGCCATGGACGAAGTCCTTCTCCCCCCCAGGAGCTCCAGCAGGAGAAGTGGGTTGAATTCGACCCAACGCTTCCATCTGGCCACATCAAAGTTCTTAGCCGTACCCTGTTTGTAGGCGGCGTTACGTAAGTCCACCACTTTCTAACTTGGGTAAGACGGGATCATGTACTAATTAGAATACCAGATGCTCCGAAACCGAGCTGCGTAACATCTTTGGCCGTTATGGCACTGTTCAGACGTGCATTGTTAACAAGGATAAACGCCATGCCTTTGTCAAGATGTTGACACGTCAGGACGCCGTTAGGGCAAAGGATGCCATGGAAGATGCCAGGGGTCTTGAGTATCCCCTTCGTGTAAGTACAAGTCCGCGCTGCATTGCAAACATTGTGTTATGAATAACGTACTAACTCCAATTTGCAGACCAGATGGGGCGTTGGATTCGGTCCTAGAGACTGCAGTGACTACTCAACCGGCATCAGTGTTATTCCCATCCACAAGCTCACCGATGCCGACCGAAAGTGGATGCTGACTGCTCCCTATGGTGGAAGCGGAGGTCGGCCCATTGAGACAGGCCTCTGTGTCGAAGAGCCGGATATTGAAATCGGTGCCGGCGTTTCGTCCAAGGCCATCAGCCGCCGAATGCAGACAGACAAGGGCGGTAGCAACGGTCCCAAGTCTACACGCCACCGCGACGACGATTCACGCTGGCGCCGAGGCCGAGATGATGGCCCTGGCCAGATGGAACTTGAAACCCAACAGCAAAACAGCATGGCCGGTTTCCCCTTTGGCATCGGCACCTTGCCCAACGGTATGCCCAACTTCCCAACGGGCTTCCGATTCCCAGATCCCAACACTGCTGGAAGGACCTGATGATACTGTCTTTTGCGATACTTGAGAGGTAAATTTGATTTTTATACCCCCGGCAATTTGCACCGACATTTTCGGATGAGGGCAACAGCGGCATCAATCAGGCTTAGGATGAATGGCGTCTGGCGAACGGGAGGGCCTCCTTTTGGGGCCGGGAACTGCTCCTTGACCTTGTTTTTGGTCTGGATTGTGCAATTTCGTCATTGGCGATAGATGTCTTTCTTCTTTTTTTGTTTTTTTCCTTTTTCTTTAACCTTTATGTGATGTTTTACGCATGGGGAGGCATCTTCGTACTATGAATCGGATACCTATTATCTAGTAACTAAAAGTCAACTTGACGTGTTTTATAGATGTTGTGTGTCTTTTCAATGTGATGTCCGTGATATGTTTTTGGTCACTTGTAAAAGACCTGGATTGGTTGTTTGATTTGCCAGATATGAAAAGGCATGTAGATGAAAAATTGAAATTATTTAATAAGTTGGTTACATTAAGAGACTTGAAGACTGCAGAGAAGTTAAAATTGTTGTGAAGGTAGGTAATAGCCATTAAACGCAGGACTGGGGTAAGGCTGACTTCAGTTGTCACCGAAAGCTGCTGTGGTTGGTGGACGTGGCTTTGGCAACAAGGCCTTTGGGGGGATTAAAGTTGCTGTGAAGCTGCAGGCTGGTTACTCCGCCACATTGCCTTGCATGGAGTGTCCAGAAAGCTACTATGTCTAGGAAGCAGTTGGGGAGCTATGCGGCCTCACATAGCAATATTATAGACAGGGATGGCGATTATGGTCAAAAGATAGATTGCACCTTTTTGTTTTCCGTTTACTTTCTTCGTCCTTAATTCGTAGTAACACTCCTCTACTGATAGAATCAACATGCGGCTAAGAACTCTCGCGACAACCGATGAGGCAGTTTTTATGCAGCTTCTAGAGATGTTGTCTGTCAAAAACACCTACCCTATAATCCACGCCGAATTTACATCCAAACTACTGGATCCATGCCGTAGAATTGACTCAGATGGCAAGAAATTTAGTTTGTTTACGTGAAAACTTGTTTAGGCTAGGGGATGCATTCAAAAGGATGGATAGTTTCTGTTTCGCAAGAGTGCGTTGTATCATTCCAAACGATAGTTATCATGGCGACACAGGTAGGACTAAAGGAATGGCCCGGAATGTAAATTACTGTTTACGTAGGTAGGTCCGGACTAGTCCTTCATACAAGGAGCTACAGCTACGAGATGGGCTGCATGCCGCAGTACGGAGAGAATAACACTTGGACAATGAGGCAATTAAGTCGTGCCCAGGGGGCTCCAGCAAAGGGGAGATTACGTGCGAGGTTTTTTTTTCTCTCTAGAACGGCTGGGTGCTTCATGTATGAGGCTTTTTCCTATTCTTACCTTCATTTTAATGAGCTGATCTACATAATACCAATGGGCGTCTGTGCACACGACTAACTGGATATGACGACGAGACACAAGAGCAAGGGAAAAAAGAAAAAAAAAAAAAAAGGCGACAAGGTTTCGCGGGCGTTAGTTTTGCATGTAAGCCGAAAAAGCTGGGCACGCGAGCGGCGAACGGAAGGATTAGTTGAAACGATGGGCGTGGAACCCTGGATTTGGCGAATTCGCCTCGGTAACACAATATGGGAATAGTAGCACTTGGGAGTCTCTCCTTTCCTTTTTCCCTTTTCTTTTTTGTCTTGTCCCCTTGTGAAGCGAAGGCCCCCCTTGGGAGTCAGGGAGGCGAGACGTGTTTACTTTTTCTTGTTTACTTGGATAGGTAGAAGGACCTTCGGCATGTGGACGCCGGTTTAGCGCCGTCCGCCGAGCTGAAATCTCGCTCAGCAAATTTTACACCCGGGGAGGACAAAGAGAGGCCCCGATATACATGTATATGCACTCTACTATCTATACACAGTATGCACCCCGTACTTTGTCTCTGCACCTTCCCCAGGTCCCCTTCAAAAATACCCCATCCGGCAAAGTCCAATTGAGCCTTTTTTCCCTCAAGTAGAACGAGGCAAATAAATAAAAAAGGTTGCAGAGAGAGCGAATATGCTTAATCGAGTTCCGGCCGGGAAGCCGCGGGAAAGTGTGGAGAAAGCAGCGTAGCAACGCCCTCTTTTTTTTTTTCTGTCCTGTCCACACGCGCAGCAAACCCGTTCCGTGAGCCCTTTTTTTAAGCAATTAAGGATACGTGAAAGTAAATTTTAGAGTTATTTTGTTAGGGCGCGGGTCAATTTGGAGAAAACGGGGGGCCCGGGTAAAAAGGCAACGAAGAGTAGATTGGGAGTTGGAGAATGTGTGGTGGGAGGTGGATGCCACCCGAGATTCCCGAGGAAGCCGAGTGTTTTGGGAAACATTTATATCTCTCAAGCTGCTGTTGTGTGGCCATTTGAGAAACTGATTGGTGTTGGGTAGAAGGCTTTTGATCAATTCAGTGGTAGAACATTCTTGTACACCAATGGGAAAAGTATGGCCAAGGAGAGATTGGATGTTGTGGTAGAGGTTGGGTGGGCTGGCCATGGTTGGAGAGGCGGACAGGTAGGCCAAAGACGAACAATGTTCATCTTGGTCCGGTCTGTTTCCATGTTCCATATCTTCTTGCTCAAGGAAGCCTATTCTCTCCCCCATCTTTGAGATTGCTCGGATGAGGGCTCAAATCACGGAAGAGCGTGTAGCCGGTAAGACATGTCCGCGGTGATGCATGAGGTAAAGATCACCAAGGCCCTCCCCGAAGCAATTAGGGTTCTAGGGGCATTAGAATATCACTTATAGAATACGTCAATGGCATTGTGCCAGTGCTGTGGCGAAGAAGTATACCTGCTGTAGCCATGGTGCTTTGGGCAGCGAGTAGATGGTGCTCCCTATCAGAAGCTGTGTCGTTGAAGCCCACACAGATGTCATCTTTTCGAGCATCAATAGAATACTCTCCAATACAAGAAAATCATTCAATAGGTGAAAGAAGCCATGCAAAGACGCAGGCGAAGCAAAACACCAGACCCAGCCTCTACGGTGGTGGGATCGTAAGTGAGAATGACACAACATATGGATGATACACACCTACACAGCATCAAAGAAACTCCGAGTACAAACACGCGCAAGTGTCCACTCCGTCCAAGCACTGCAGCTGCGTCTCCACAAAGAAGCTGCAAGAGGCGAGGCGATGCTTCCATCCAGCTTCTAGAGCGTCCAGCCCGAGTCCAAGTGGCGCCAAAGGGGCGTCCTCGGGAGTATTTTGCCACAGAAACGGGACTTTGCCGACTGGTACGTTACGATATCATAGGCTCCGTCAAAGGACCGACCGACCTGGCTGGTGTTTGTTGGCAGAGAGTATGTACAATACAGTATGCTGGGTGGATTACGGAGTAGAAAATGCAGGGTTCAGCTTCAACAGCCATTGCTCTTGCTCCTCGGCTTTGCGACCACAAGTGGTAAGAGGTCCCTCCTATTCTCTGCGTTTTCCCCAGCTTCGTATCTGTCTGAACAGGTCCGGTGCGGTATCGATATTACCTGGATGGCGCCGTGGAGAAGAACAGCTCAGAGGGTCCGTATTTTGCTGGCCGTTGCTCGGTTCCCAGAATGCGCCAATCCAGCACCCGCTCCGTACGAGTACAAGCAATACCGACGAAAATAGCGCTTTCTGAAAAGGGCATTTGGTATTCTCTTGCGGTCTCCAGCGGCTGATGCGGGTCTGCCAGCTGTCTTCGGCGTTCGGTAGTCGGCCGCAGGCAGCCATGTAAGAATCGAAGTCTGACTGACTAGCAGAGCATCACGGGATCCCGCGCCTATGTAAGTACTATGTACGAACAAGGACCTCGTCTCGTACCAGCTCCTCGTACATGTACATCAAATACGTACATACAGTAGCAGCTTTTTTTGCTTCCTCGATCCCATCGGCCTCGCTTTGCTGGCTCGGCTCTGGCGCAATCGGGTCGCGGGAACGCGAGACTGGGCAACGACGCATCCAATCCAATGATCCCTGAGCGATTCTGCGCTGTTCTCGATTGCCCCCTGGCCCTGGAGCCTGGGAGAGACTGGACGTTCTTGGCAGCGGCTTTTCCACGGAGCTACCAACTGAGCTAAGCTGATGAGGTAATGGGGAGAGGCGAAAAGGAGCAGGCAAGCGAAGTGCTTTGCTTTGGATTGGGCCGACGGCGCAATGACGCAGGCAGACCGCCGTGTCTCGTCTCGTCTCGTCTCCTCGCTGCGCTGCGCTGAGCTGCCCTACTGTATGCGTTCTGTAAATTACTCGTGCCCGCTGCTGGCGCTGATTTGATGCTGAATTTAGGTGCTGCACTGCAGTCCAGGCTCTCAGGCTACTGTACATGTACTTACCTGCACGTACCTGTATCCATTACTTTCCCCTGAGTGAGATGCTCAATTGAGTGCTCTTTTATGACCAAGATAACCTAAGTATACATGTATATACACCAGACAATGACTGTTGCTTCTCTTGTCTCGTAGCCCAGCTCGCGTATGTACAGACAGGTCCGTTACCGCCCTCGTTAATCGCCCAATTTCGCTGCCAATTTCCCTCTTCCCAGTCCAAGACTTTGATCGATCGCGGAGAACAACCGCTGAAGGGCCACCCCCAAGGACAGACAGACGGCAAGAAGAAGAAAAAACCTGGAAAGGCCAGCGCACGTTGCGCAGTGACCCTCGAGCGAGCCCAGACCCCCTTGCGCTGCCAGGTATCACGGCTAGGGGGGCCTGGCAGGAAAACCGCAAAGGACCACACAGTGGGCGACTTTTGGGAGCTTGACGATGGGCCAGGGGACGTGCGGACACTAGCCGGGCTGAACCCATGCCCTGGTGGCTTGGAGAACGATTTTTCTCCGTATCGCAAGTTCCGCATGCGGTGATGGACGATCGCTCTTTTTGCTGTCTTTGTGACATGGCATGGGCGGTTATGGGCACTTGGCAGAGTTACCTGGACTGTACAAGTCAGCCGCTTGATGGACCCCCCCGTGATGCCATCTGCGGTGGTTGAATTTCGATGATTCCACGGAGGCAATGTTGGTAATATTCGTACTCGTACCAAGTACCTTAGTCTAGATGCTCTTTGTATAAGGTACTATACGTATTATTGGTAGGAGGCATTATTGTTTTATTGCACAATCTTAACAATTGCCACCCAAATCTTGCCCATTGCATCACGCATTGCACCTCATCATCAATGCTAGCCCCCTTTCCAGACCGTCTTGGCAGCTACCGCATGGAGATGCTCCAATTGAAAAAGATGGAGTTGCGCGCTCTGCATAATATGGAGAACTGGAGACCAGGACGCACCTTTTCAGCTCAGGGTCTCGTGAATTCCTTCTTACTCGAGTCGTAGTCCGAAAATACTGTACGGAGCGCGCAAGTAGCGGTATTCAACGCCTTGGGGTCTCGACGAATTCAAATCATTGGATCCCCGATGCAATATGTGCCAGCCAAGACCGCCCTACGGGCTGCGTCGTTGTGGCTCCCCCCACACGGCGGCCGGACAGAGGAACTTTCAGAAGAAATCCCTCGTCTAGCCGGGGGAGACGTCGGTCAACGCTTCTGGGAAAGGGGCCATGATGCGAGTTGTGCTGTTCTTCAGTGTTCTTGGGTTGTTGGTACGGCTGAAGCTGAAGCAGAGCCAGTGCTGTTGGTGGGAAGATAGCTGTAGATTATGAGCAAAGAATGATTCATTTTTTTCTGCTTGATCGCTTGTGATGGAAGCGTTTCCATCTGCTGGCAGGGTATTAACGAGCACGGTGTCATGATTCAATCGACCTGCTGCTCTACCATTTGATGTCATCCATCGTCTAATACATGTATACAGTACAGACTAGTAGTAAACGAACTCGCTACTATCGATGTCGATATCAACCTACGTACGTAAAGTGGCTGGCTGTATTTCGTAACGCCCGATGGCCTGCAGCCAGCACAGAGACAGACAGACGCAAGGAGGCGAGGCCGGTACAGAAAAACAAGGATCGATTGAGTGATGCCTGAAGACGGCTCGGCTTACAAGGCCCTTCCCATGGCTATTCTAGTACGAGCAGAGACATGGACTGGAACACGTCTCTAATTGCGTGCATTCGCCATCGAGATGCGCGGCACTTGTGCTCCGTAACGTTGGCACGCTAAGGCAGAGTTTTCTCTGCTGCAACAATAGCAGTTTGGCCGATGCTCGCATTCACGCTCACGCCTCGTTCTAGAATGCGCGCAGAATGTCTTGGCAAGCCGCATCGCTTTTTCTGGCGCCCCCCTCCTTTGCACCCGTCGCGAGCAAGTAAACAGTAATCCGTATGCGCAGAGCCGTGGTTGGCTGGCTGAATGGATGATGGATGGAGAGATATGTTGCCAGTCTGGGCATTCCACCACATGCGGCAAAGCCGAACATCTCGATGACGTAGTGCGTGCCTCTCAACAGCAAACAATGACACGAAGCCCGTCCCTTGTTCGGCTCTCCCTTACCAGACACCGATCACGATAGCTTTAGCACCGTTTGCCTCAATCGGAGACCGGCTGCAATTCCTCATTGCCAGCTCCGTTCCTGAGTCCCTTCTCCGCGGCTTTACACCCAGGCGAAGGGGGGAAATCCCAGAAAGGGAAATCTCGGTATATCGGTGACGGCGCTTCGCGGGCCGGCATTTCGCTGTTTGCTCTCCCTTGCTCTATTCGCCTTACCGCTTGCAATCTTGTCGGTTCTTGGCCCTTTCTTTGGGGAAGGGCTATTCAACACCCCAAGCTGGCTAAGAGGAGGTCCAAATGGAGTCACAACGTATAATGAAGATCTCTTATCACCGTATCACCGTTACTTGAACAGGTATTACACAGTTCCTGGAGTATCTGCAACTATCGCTTAGTTTCTGCCACTATCGCTACTATTATATGCTGCTATCCATATGGTATTCCTCTACTCCATAATATCTGCTGTCATTACTACCCCGGCTGCTTTAAATTTAAGAATGGGATGCTGGATAGCAGACGCGGGGTGCTGAATAGCCACTCCCTTTCTTTGCCATGATTTGCTTCCTTTTCCCTTGGGGGTTTTTCGTCACTGGGGGCCATGAGGAATCGGTTTTGCCAAGGCCATTTTGTCGCACTTGTCGGATGCCGCGGTAATTAAGCTGAAAGGATTCAGATTAGGATGCTCGTCGAAAAGGCGTCGCGGGTATGTGCACTTAACACCAGGGATGCTGAGACACCGCAAACAGCAAATATACTGGCATCGCCAATCACGGCCCGGCTTGGTGAATCAATTGATTCCATTATGTACTGTACGAGTTACGTGTATCTGCTGGCATCAGCCACCTACTGCCGGAGCTGAACTAAGACTGAAGCAGCCAAGTACAAGTATAGCTACGCGTACGCTTATTGCGGCAGCTTTGCATTCAATATTGACTCCTTAGACGTACAGCTACCCATACCTGTGCTTGGTTTGAAACGACGCCAGCTCGCCTGCGTGATAAACAGCCCAACGCCAGATAAGCAAGACGCCTCTGCGCATAACTGCTGGGGCCAGAAGCCAAAACACAAATCGCCAAGGGACACCAACAGTAATTTCACCCAAGTGCCATGTTTCGCAGGCTCCTTTGGGCTAGCGTGCCACGGAAAACACAGAGTTTGAGGCATAAGAGTATCAGCAGCAAAAAGAAAAAAGTCTCTCGCCTCAGCCGTGCTCTGTACCTAGTAGCTGTTGGGCGCCGTTGACCTGAGGGTACAAGCCGGCCCTGCGTGGGGCCAGTGTGGCATACGGTGCGGTGCTCCTAGGCCTTGGGGCCGCTGGAAAGCCGCTAGAAAAGCCGCTGTTTGGGAGCTTCTGAAGCCGCGGCGTTTTCCCGAGGCAAGCCACCACCAGCGGCGACTGGTCGGGGCCTTGATATAGCGGCGCGTTTTACGGCTAGCGGCAAGGAGATCCAATGATGGCTGCATCCGGGGCCATGCACGATGGACGGGAGATGATGGCTGGTGACAGGCTGCCGTGTGTGATTGAACGGGTTGAGCGAAGATTCTGGTCGATGATGATGGCGATGACGATGATGCTGCTGCTGCTGTCGCCACTAGTGGTGGCATTGATGCACACCAACACACGTAGGAGCACTAACTAACGGTTGCTGCAGATGCATCTCAACTCCGATTGATCCAATCAGTCTCGCTCGACGTCCTACAGGTACAGCTGCGCCCTCGGATGAACTCGACAAGCACTCGATGCTACGAAACTCTGTAAATAGGTACATGTACTACTCCGTATAATTGCGATAATTACCTGGCACTAGAGCATCGTAATGCGCACTAATACCGGTGCTCCTTATTCATCTTATGCTTACCTACCTGGTACCTGTATTTAATTCCATGTTATCTTAGCATCCAGCCAATGGCCGTGAATACCACCCACCAGCAAAAAAAGGCAGAGCTACTCTCTCCAAGGGTCGGCTGTCCTACAAGCTACTCGTCAATGTACAAACACACAGGTAAAATCGGTGCTAATCCTGGCCCCCCCTTCGGCACCACAACTAGCGATTCCGATGACATGGAGGTTTGACGAGGCAGGGAATCAAAGCCCAAACCGCCGAAAGCGCAGGGAGTGAACGTGCGAGCTCGCAGCAACAAGCAGGGCCTTGGCGTGGCTTCTTTCCACGGAGACGATCTGCCGAAGCAAATCCGTTCCCTGCCTGCCTGGTCGGGCGGCTTCGTCATGGGGGGCGGCGGAAGCATTCCCAAGATGCCGTTCTCGCTGAGACAAGGGACTTGGCGAGACAGGTGTCGCAAGAATGCGCTCAGAGCAGCTGGATGGGCAATCCTGGTAACAGCTCATTTTAATAAGACAACAACAGACAGAAAATAGACCAAAAATAACATGGCATGTGGCTGTTTTGTTGCAGTTGTAGACAAGTCTCAGGATCGACCATGGTACTCGTACTCTAGGGAGCGCACTGATGTTGTCTGCCCCCATCCTGGCGCTACGAGGACGGATTCACATCACACTCGCACTCGCACACACACACGTACACACACTTACACTCTATATGAGAGGAAATGATGCACGGCTGGTGAAATGAAATGAAACAGTCACATCACAGAGGGCAGGCATCATGAGTAAGCTCTGGCAGAGACGCGTGCTAGCGGAAGCGCCGTCCGGATGGACATTGGCCTGCTGGCCACTAGAATAGCAGCAGCCTATTGGCACTCTCCGTAATTCAACATTTCAGGTTTCGATGGAAATGGAGCGACCATGTGAAGAAAGCCAGGCTCTGATAAGGCCGCATTGGTTGGCGCTATTAGTTCCTGGAACGGCACACTGCCGGAGGCATTGCCGCATTGATCACCTTGAACCGGCAGCAACGAAGCGAACAAAACAGCTGGCAGAATAGATACGGTACAGTACGAGAGCGCATGGGACGAAAATGCAGGTGGTTGGGCGAGCGAAACGTCGACAGCGTTCGTACGAGAACTCCGTACTGTACATGTACATACAGGTCCAGGACCAGCAGCTTATGCACAAACTGCCGTCGAGAGCGAGCTCCGTTTTTACCGCCATTGCCAGCCCATCGCGAAGTTGGCGGTGACCAGGAGTCGTGTCGTTGCATGTGCTCCGTCCTGCACTTGCACCTACAAGTACATAGAACAGCCAAAGAAAACACGCGGAATCCAGCTCCGTCCTGGCGTCCCCACGGGGGTACGCAAGAATGCAGAGGGAGATTGCGGTAAATGCAGGTACCTGCTTTAGTCGCCTTTGGGTCCACTGCGTGCAAGTACACGAGAGTTGGGACTAACACGGGTCGACGAAAATTCAATCCATTGTCACGGCTACCTTTTTTCGGGTGGTAGGTGCACGCAAAAGAAAAAAAAAAAAAAAAGGCGACGTCGTGATGAGAACAGCGCAGGCCTGGGCAAATACCAAGAAAAACCGGATAAGCGTACCGTATCGTCTTGCAATCGAGGAAAAAAAGCCACCAGCGCAACGTCAAAGGGCCTGGGCCCCCAGCCGTAACCAAGGGGGTTGGCTCCAGAAATGCCCACAGATCATCAGCAAGGTGCGGTTCGCGAAAAGGGCCGTCCGTGCTTTGTTGCTTTTCGCTGACCGCCGCGCGAAGAGTCCACAGTCCACTAGGACAGCTCTAGTACGAGTGCTCGAAAGGGAGGGCCAGCGTTGTTGTCATCATGGGAAGCGAGGCAAGGAGAAAATGCCTCAGCGAAAAGACAAAGGTCGAGTACAGGTGGGCAAAGTTCTTGGCTGCCGTGTACAAAAAAGTAGTGAAAACACGGCCAAGAAACACCAGCGCCAGGACGCCAAATGAAACCAGAGGAGACGGGAAAGAAATTTCAAGACCAAGAAAAATGGAGGGCGTCTTCCCTCTGGGGCCATTTCCCCCGGGCTAACAGCCTCCAGCTCCATTGTATGAGGTGTTTTGGCGGCGGTAGTGGCCCGTAATGGTAGCAGTAGCGGTGGTGCTCCGTAGCGGGAGAGGGTGTTAGAGGCGGATATTGCAAGTAGAGTTGAGCATTAAGTTTATGGGAACGGCAAGGCTTTGTTTTGGGGGTTTCGCCCACCTGAGCTTGCACTGTAGCTTAGTGATATTATCAATTTGCTGCCTTTGATGCTACTGTAAGTAAAGTAAGATTCGACGCGAATCTTATTTATGGCATCAATGCACATGCGGTTCATTCCGGCCTTGCATTCGGGGCAATTGCAACGGCGCGATACGTGTAATGCTCCCCAACTGCAGTCCTTGCTTTCTGCTAGCACGCACCGCTGCTCAGTGATATTGAGGACTTTAACCTGTACTAGCTGTAACACTGAAAATGAATTGGCGCACCGCACCAGCAGCGGCAAGGCGCCGGCACTCGAAACGTTTTACGAGAGCCTCCATCGTCCTGGATTTGCGTTATCAGCCTCTAGCGGCACGGCCAATGCGCACCAGGCAGTCTGTACGAGTACCTGTGACGAAGAGAGACACCGCCTATAGTAGCGTGTGCCAAGTACATTGATGAGCAACCGGAACGCCTTCATGCTGATGTGCACTACTTAGTACCTGGGTAGGTACAGTACAAGCATCAATGGGTTAGGTGTTTAGGTGGTGGGCGATAAAGATGTACTGCCGTACCTCGCAGGGCAAGGGGGCAGAGGCAAACAAACCAGACGTAAACAACAACACAGGGGCAGGCTATTGTGCAAGTCCATCCAGACGTAGCACGGTCCAGTCCAGTGTCTCGCTAGCAGTCACCCAGCCAGCGTCAAAGGCATTTCCGAAAGGGTGCGCCGTCTCCGCCAAGGCCCGCCGGCTGGGCTAGCAGGGAATTGTACGTAGTAGTAGAGTCGAGGACGTGAGTACCCAGAGAGCAGAGACTCCGCCCGTGGTGAAATTAGGTAGGTAGATAGACGCTTGGAGGCGTTGAACAGCTGAGTGCGGTGAGGTCCAGCTCTGCCACCGACATTTACTATACACGAGAGCTGTACACGTACATGCGGCACCAGACCAGACGGCAGCAGAGCCCGCTTCTCCATCCGGTAGCGAACAGCTCGAGGCCCGCTGGCTTCGTATGGCAAAATCCGAGCTGTGATGTATCGACGGCCAGGGGGCGGTGGACCAAGGCAAGGCTCTTGGACAGCTGGCTGTTCGCTCGCTCGCTCGTTCGGCCGCCTGGGTGGGCGCTCCGTGCTTTTCTTGCGCCAAGCCGAGAGAACCATGCACAGGTGCTTTTTTCTTCTTCATCCTTCTGCTTTGACTTTGCCCATGGCCAGCCAAGTCCCGTCCCTGGAAAATGCTGAGGTACATGAGGTACATGCGGTACAGCACAGTCCCGGACCGGGGTACCGCTACCTGGCAATACCAGTTCTCGGCCAGCCAAGCTCCAGACATGGGGCCTGACAAAGGTCGCAGGGATGGCAGCGGTACGTACCGGGCTAGCGGCCACACCGTGCGCGCCTGGCCGCTGCTCGTACGGCCGACGGCTTCGTGCCTTGTACTCCAGGGTACCGCTTTCGCCCTAGCACCGCCATGGCGTGCCCCAGTCTTCGCCGTGCCTGGCCCAAGGACGCTCGCATGGCGCCTGCTTGCTTCGTCGAGCCATTCATTGAAATAGAAGCTCTCTCCCCGACCTCGACTTAGCTTTCCTTTCCTTTTCTTCTCTTCACCCACGAATGCGTTGAGTTAAAGTGTCCCCCAAGCCTCTCTTCGTGTGGTGTGAAAAAAAATCAACACTTTTTTCTCCCTTATCCTCCTCCCTCTCCCCCGACTTACTATTTTCCCCTAATAATAATAATCAATCCTCTTTTCGCTTTCAGCATTCCCGCCCCCCAAGCGTCACCTGCATACCAATTGAGGGACCCCGCGGCATTTCTAGACTTGTCAGCTTCTCTCGCAACCTAGAACTCTTCCTTTCCATTATAATCAGCACCGTCAACATACACATCACAAGCGTCTCAAACACGTTAATAATACTTCGCCATGGCGGACGATAAAGCCGTCGGCGCACCCGCGCTGGATACAAATATCGAATCGGGCAACTTCGACGAGAAGCGCGCCCAGCCTCCCACTGAGGCCATCCCTCCCAAGAAGGATGCTCCCGCTGAAGAGGAGGAGGAAGATGAGGATATTGATGCCTTGATTGAGGATCTCGAGTCCGAGGATGGCCACGCCTTTGAGGAAGATGAGGATGAGGATGCCAACCCTGCCACTGGACGTGTCGTTCCCGAGGACATGCTCCAAACTGACAGCCGTCTCGGTCTGACCGAGAGCGAGGTTGTCGCTCGCCGTCGCAAGTACGGTCTTAACCAGATGAAGGAGGAGAAGGAGAACTTGGTTCTCAAGTTCCTTTCCTTCTTCATTGGTCCCATTCAGTTCGTCATGGAGGTGAGTTTTTTCTTTTTTCCTGCTTTTTCCGCACTCTGCGTTTCAATCGGCATCCAATTGCGTGGTTTCAACATTCACTGCCATGATTTGTTCTGGTCAGCACTCTCACCAACACCACCACCACACCCTCTTGCAACTTATCAGCAAGCCGCGTTCCCCCGACGCGGCCAGCGATTCCCTCCAATTGCCTTGTTTTTTCTTTTTTTCGCTCTTCCGCGCTTGGCTCTTGGGGTCTAGATTGGCGGCTCCACACGAGCTTCGCACGGCTTCTGCGCTGATTGGTTCAATTGGCCTCGCTGAGCTGATCTGCACTCCGTTTCCCTGCGCTCGAGAAAATTATGCATGTGGGGGGGCCAAAGAATGCCGGTCCACTCAATAAGATGTCACCCGCTCCACTCATATCCCAACCGGCGCCGTCGATCGCCGATACGCAAAAAGCACCCTTATTCGTTACGAATACGCCATATGCTGACCACACTATCAATAGGCTGCTGCCGTTCTGGCTGCCGGTCTTCAGGACTGGGTCGATTTCGGTGTCATCTGCGGTCTTCTGTTGCTCAACGCCTGTGTTGGTTTCATTCAGGAATTCCAGGCTGGTTCCATCGTCGAAGAACTCAAGAAGACCCTCGCTCTTAAGGCTGTTGTCCTCCGTGACGGTACCCTGAAGGAGATCGAGGCCCCCGAGGTCGTCCCTGGTGATATTCTGCAGGTTGAGGAGGGTACCATCATTCCCGCCGATGGTCGCATCGTTACCGAGGGTGCTTTCCTCCAGGTCGATCAGTCCGCCATCACTGGTGAGTCTCTCGCCGTCGACAAGCACAAGGGCGACTCCTGCTATGCTTCCTCCGCCGTCAAGCGTGGTGAGGCCTTCCTGGTCGTTACCGCTACCGGTGACAACACCTTCGTCGGTCGCGCCGCTGCTCTCGTCTCTCAGTCCGCTGGTGGCACTGGTCACTTCACTGAGGTTCTCAACGGCATTGGTACAATTCTGCTGGTCCTCGTCATCCTGACCCTGCTCGTTGTCTGGATTTCTTCCTTCTACCGCTCCAACGGCATTGTCGACATCCTGCGCTTCACCCTGGCCATCACCATTGTCGGTGTCCCCGTCGGTCTTCCCGCCGTCGTTACCACCACCATGGCTGTCGGTGCCGCCTACCTCGCCAAGAAGCAGGCCATCGTCCAGAAGCTCTCTGCCATCGAGTCCCTTGCTGGTGTCGAGATTCTCTGCTCTGACAAGACTGGTACTTTGACCAAGAACAAGCTCTCTCTCTCTGAGCCCTACACCGTCCAGGGCGTTGACCCCGATGACCTGATGCTTACTGCCTGCTTGGCCGCTTCCCGCAAGAAGAAGGGTATCGATGCCATTGACAAGGCTTTCCTCAAGTCCCTCAAGTTCTACCCCCGTGCCAAGAGCGTCCTGTCCAAGTACAAGGTCATTGACTTCCACCCCTTCGATCCCGTCTCCAAGAAGGTCACCGCTGTTGTCGAGTCTCCCCAGGGCGAGCGCATCACCTGTGTCAAGGGTGCCCCTCTTTTCGTTCTCAAGACCGTCGAGGAGGACCACCCCATCCCCGAGGACATTGACAAGGCCTACAAGAACTGCGTCGCTGAGTTCGCTACCCGTGGTTTCCGTTCTCTTGGTGTTGCCCGCAAGCGTGGTGAGGGTGCTTGGGAGATTCTCGGAATTATGCCCTGCTCTGACCCCCCTCGTCACGACACTGCCCGCACTATCAACGAAGCCAAGAACCTCGGTCTGTCCATCAAGATGTTGACTGGTGATGCCGTCGGCATCGCTCGTGAGACTTCTCGCCAGCTCGGTCTCGGAACCAACGTCTACAACGCTGAGCGTCTCGGTCTTGGTGGCGGTGGTGACATGCCCGGCTCTGAGGTTTACGATTTCGTCGAGGCTGCCGATGGTTTCGCTGAAGTTTTCCCCCAGCACAAGTACTCTGTCGTCGAGATTCTCCAGCAGCGTGGCTACCTCGTTGCCATGACTGGTGACGGTGTCAACGATGCTCCCTCCCTGAAGAAGGCTGATACTGGTATTGCTGTCGAGGGTGCTTCCGATGCTGCTCGTTCCGCTGCCGATATCGTTTTCCTTGCCCCCGGTCTCGGTGCCATCATTGACGCTCTCAAGACTTCTCGCCAGATTTTCCACCGCATGTACGCTTACGTTGTCTACCGTATCGCTCTGTCCCTGCACATGGAGATCTTCCTTGGTCTCTGGATTGCCATCCTCAACCGTTCCCTGAACATTGAGCTGGTCGTCTTCATTGCCATTTTCGCCGATATTGCCACCCTGGCCATTGCTTACGATAACGCCCCTTACTCCCAGACTCCCGTCAAGTGGAACCTTCCCAAGCTCTGGGGTATGTCCGTTCTCCTCGGAACCGTTCTCGCTGTCGGTACCTGGATTGCCCTCACCACCATGTACGCTGGTGGCAAGAACGGTGGTATCGTCCAGAACTTCGGTAACATCGATGAGGTTATCTTCCTTGAGATTTCCCTCACTGAGAACTGGCTGATCTTCATCACCCGTGCCAACGGTCCCTTCTGGTCTTCCATTCCTTCTTGGCAGCTCAGCGGTGCCATCCTGGTCGTCGATATCATTGCCACCCTCTTCTGTGTCTTTGGTTGGTTCATTGGCGAGCAGACCAGCATTGTCGCTGTTGTTCGTATCTGGATCTTCTCCTTCGGTATCTTCGCCATCATGGGTGGTCTCTACTACTTCCTCCAGGGAAGCACTGGCTTTGACAACCTCATGCACGGCAAGTCTCCTAAGCAGAACCAGAAGCAGCGATCTTTGGAAGATTTTGGTAAGTTTTTACATCTACTCCTCTTTATAAGACGCACAGTTGCTAACTCTCTTTCCAGTTGTTTCTCTGCAGCGTGTTTCTACCCAGCACGAAAAGTCTCAGTAAATACACTCTATTACATACCCGCAGGCTAGTTGGCTTGCATGTTTCAGTTTTAAATGTTTAAATGTACTGTATGAGTCGTATCTGAAGATGGACTCGTCTGAAGTGGATGAGAGGCAACTTTTCATACCCTATGATGGTCTGATAGACAGCTAATGAAGACAAAGTAAAATAATGTCACCTTGATGTGTCTGGTGAAGTTTGATGTTATGTCGGCAAATGTCTTATGTGAACAATTGATTTATGCTTTGAGGATGGGCGAGTTATGAGTTGATAGTTGACGAAAATGAAATGTTTCTAAATAACTGATCCAGTATCCATGAAGCATCTAATGCTCTTGATAAAAATTTCTAGAGATGTCCACATGCAAAGGTTGGACCTCAGCGCATCACGTGACCCGCATACTTCTAGGCCAGTTGCCTCTTCAGAGGCCCAAACGACGACCATCAAAATAAATCAAGACTGTTTCCTTCGCAACAGAAGCAAGATTTCTTCAACCACTGAATCAAAATTCTTTTGCATGAGAATCAACAGACTTCTTGCCCCAAGCTGTCTTGATTTTTGATTTCTTCTTTCTTTTTTCCCATTGAGTTGATATACGAAATTCACTTTGGGCACGGACTAATCGCATCTCTCTTTTTGAGGTCGCCATGAGTAGCACTCCTGCAGAGTTACCAGGCTATTACTACGGTGCGATTTCTTTATCCTTCCTTTACGTTCTTCATACCTTTGCATAGATTATTTATCAGCTAAACTTTTGAGATGCAGATGCGGAGAAGAAGAGATATTTCGCAATAGAAAAATCTCACACCGCACCCGCCTCAGCGAAGTGGTCCTCTGCCTCAGTCAAGCGGCGCAAACTCGAATCTCAAGCCGCCGAGGAAGCGTCCAAGGAGGAGGAGCTCATTAAGAACTCTGTTAAGCGCAATGTCTTAATTCATGATGCTGCTGCCTCGGGACTGCTTGCGCGCGAGATGGGGAGCCCGAGGACTGCTGAGGCTGGTCGGGGGAGGCTTGAGAACGGGGACATGGCTGCTGCTATGTGGGCTCGGGGATTGACTGACAAGGGGAGTGTTGCGTTTGAGATCAGTTTGAATTATGAGACGCATCCGCATATGCCGTGTTTTTATGTCAGTGGGAAGGAGTGTGGCACGGAGTCGGCTATAGCATATTCGAGTAAGTCTCTTTCATTTTTGGTACTTATCGATGAATTGAGTATGAAGAATGGATCGATAAGCATATGCTAACGAGTCTGATTTTAGGTTTTGACGACGAGTTGTTGATGGGAATTTACATTGAGACGGATGAAAACGAAAAGTATGTCCCTGTCTTCCTATTCATCTCTACTCTCATTGGCCGAGTTATGATACTGACAGCTGGCACAGCCTGAAGACCAGATCAGCTTCTATCCGCCAATCGGGAAAACCCCACTATGAGATGATTTACTGTCCTCAGATGTCATCCATCAAATATCATCAGCCGACTAACAAGGTTCTCCTCACTTCGAAACAATACGGCGAAAACCGTTCACTCTGTGTTTTTACTCCTCCAATGGAAACTTCACCTGACCTTGGACTGCATTGGGCCCTAGGCGAAAGTATGTCCCCCCCTCTCTTGTCTTGTCTCCTTTTGGGCTTCTTCTCTTGGAAAGACACCCTCCAGTGTTCACCTATCCCTTGTTTGAACATTTCACTGACACCGCAATAATAGTTAATAGCTACCGCAATATCATGAATGACTTCTCACAGAACTGGAACTGGGGTGTCAACCAGAGTACGCCTGCTCCTGCCTCCTCTAACCTCCTCTGCGTGGTGGGAACGAACAAGGGAATCCAACGCATTCATCTCAATGAGACTCCTAGCTGGATCACTCAAACAGCGACTCCGCCCAACTACGGCCATGATGCAAGGATCGATTACCCTGGCCGCAGGACATACTTTGGCCCTCAGGAGATCTTCTCTCAAGATTTCCAAGTCGGTAACCACAACATATTGCTTGCGGGCGGCCGGCAGCATCGCCTCTGGATTACTGATCTCAGAGCACCGGCCGCCGGATGGAGCTTTGTTAAGTACGGGTCGTCCATTGCTCACGTCCGCAGCATCAACTCCCACCAGGTCCTGGTTGCCGGTCTGCAGAACCGGATGTCCATGTACGACATGCGCTACTTCCGATCTGACAAGAAAGGCCCCCGTGGCCTAATCACCTCCTCTCCGCTGCTCGAATTCCCAGACTACAAGAACGAGTCGTACTTTCAAATCGGCTGGGACGTATCCACGGAGCTCAACCTCGTGGCCTCGGCGCAGGACAACGGCACCGTTAAGCTCTTCTCCCTCAGCTCTGGCCGCGCTGTGCGCTCGGGCAAGGCCCTGGAGAGCCTTCGGACGGGGAATCCCGTAAAGGCCATGATGTTCCAGACGTTGCCGGGAGAGAAATTGCCGAGTTTGTATGTGGCTGAGGGCCTGTTCTTGAAGAAATTCGGGTTCGCGCCAGGTAATGATTCTGACGACGAATGAGCCCCTTTCACTTTGTCTTTTCTTCCTGGGGATATATTTGCACCGATTTGATGTCGATTTGCTTGTCCAAGGTACTATTTCTGAGAATTTTCTTGTTTGTTTATTTTTTATTTATTTTTTTTTTTTCCATGTCAGGATCAGCACGGGAAATCCCTTTTTTGTTTAGGTACGATTTGGAAGGGACGGATTTGGTGTTTCTGGTTCCCGAATTTGCTTCACAAAGGATACACGCTTTACACCGTTTGATACTGATTTGATACGATGCAACAACAATACTGTTGTTACCGAAGGACGGGTTTGCCAAAAAGGGTTACATAAGGGCGCCAGGCATATGCGAAATGAGCTACGAATAACGGCGCACAACGGGAAGGAATGGGAAAAAATGATTATCTTGTTCTCCTTTGAGGGAACGGTTATGGTTATTGATATGTCGTCTTGTCTATTTTACTCTACTTTGCTACACATTTACAGACAGGCAGACGGACAGACATGCTTGATAGTATAAGCCCGCTAGGGAGCTTGTATGAATCCATGTAACGAAATTAACATTATGTTCGAACGATGCAGTAAATAGCTTAACCACGCTATAACGCATACGTGTCGTAATATGTGCAATCCAGATGATCGGACGCACTCCAAATATTCATCTCAAAAGCCAAATGAGTTGTCCTCCAACACCGGAGTAATGCTGATGCTGCGATCTAAAGAATGTTTTCTCAACAGTTGTCCTTCTGTTTTCTCTCTTGGATCTCATGTTCTACCTCCTTTTATTTGATTATAAAGCATCATTTAGTTCCTCCTTGTCCATCTGCCTCGGGCCAAAACTGACACGTATCAGCCAACATGGGAAAAGACTCGGCGAACAACCTCCCTAGCTTCCAATTATCCAAGTTGCGCATGTGGCTCTCAAACACCGGGTTAATCATAATCTCATCCGAGTCAGGGTTTCGTAGTAAAGTATGTGCCTCTTCATAAGGCCAAGAGACGGTAAAGGTGGATGTAAACGGAAGAAAGAAATTGTCAAAGTAAAAGAGCTCGGGGTTCTCAGCTTTAATTACCCTCTCTCTCATCGCCGGGTATGGCATGAAATCCATCCAAGCGGCATGCGCTATCTCATACTGGCAAGGCAATGGACGGATCCATTCTGGCAAACGGTCCAAGTTTTCTTTTGTTGGATAGATCTGCCATCGCATGAAAAGAAACATTACATATAGAATGGACACCTTTTCGGGGAGGCCAGACACTTCGGGGAATTTGGTAAGGATGTCTGTGAAAACCCTAGACACTGGGTGGCTGTATTTGCTATTCTCTGGATTGAGAAGAGAAGAAACAGATGGATACCGCGGGCCAGACACCTCATGCGGCTGGTAGCCTTCAGCAGCACGCTGTTGCCGCTCGCTGAGAAAATCGAGAAGCAGAGCGTCAAGCGGACAGGTAGGACTGCAATTGCGCAGGGGACGTGTGAACTGGAGCAGAGTTTCTGGGACAGCAGCTCGTGTGTCAGGATAAGGAACAGGTGGAATAATAGGAATGCTGGCGTCAGGGGCCGGACCGGAGCCAGGCGCTGGCTGGCTAGTGACTGAACTCTGCCGAGTAATGCCAAGGGGTGGTGCTATTGCCGGAGTTGAATCGGTAGCAGCCGGTGGAATGGGAATGGGTGACTCCCATGTAGGCACAGGCCGGGCCTGCGGTGCATAGTCCCGATTCACTTGTGTCCAGTCATGTTTCATGGGGACGTGGCGGTATTCACCCGTGTCTTGTGCTCCGTTGAGGCCCCTCTGTAGCTTTGGTATGGCCTGAGTAGAGTCAACCAGGGCGTTTAGATCAAAGCGGCCCTGCTCAAAGTCCAAGCCGTGCCGAAGCGATTGGCCTTGACGCTCTAATAGGGCCTGGGTGCCTTCGTCGACGGCATCGGCAACACTAGCCTGTCGCGGCGCTGGCGGCGTACTGCTGCCGCCGCTTTGCCAGCTCTGCAGCGGCGGCTGGGCAACATGGCGAATGGGCTCAGTCATTCCTCCTGCCGGAGATGCAGAACTTGTGGATGCTGCAGGGTGGTAGGCAATGTTGCTTGTTGTTGTTGTCGTCGTCACAGGAATGGGTGGTGTGGCGTATGGGAGTGCAGGGTTGATGCTAGGCATATCTGCTCTTGTTAGATTCACCGAATTACTGTATATATACATGGACACAAATATAAATACAGTTTCAAGACTGCTACTTACTTGGCCCAACCAAAGGCTGCAGCATGCCAATAATGCTGGCCAGCCGTCTTTTGATCTCAGCATTTTCTGCCTCTATCGCCTCCTTGGCCCGTACCACCACCTGGAGGTCCTGATACGGTTTTTGAGCTTCAAGCTCATGGATGCGGCGCTCGAGCCTCTCAATCTGGTTCTTTGTCCTCTCTCGGATGGCACGTTGCGCTTCGCGGTCTGTACAACGAAGAGGAGGGCCACATATGTTAGTCATACGCTAATACCGAGGGAAGGGTGTTTTGACAAAAAGCTTTGACAAAAAGGAAGGTTGTATGCATAAGAAACGGCCAACCAGCAAAATTGCCTTGTCCCAATAAGTGTATCATTGAAGTCATGATTAGAACAGAGAATAGAAGCCAAAAAGGCTGACGCCATATACGGCGAACAAAGGGGGGTAGAAAAGAGATATGGCAAACACTCACCATTTGCTCTTTTCTTCGCCAGCTGCTCCGGCGTCAAGTTTGCAACACCTCTACTTCCCGCTCCCGTCTTCCTCTTCTTGGTTACATTCTCCACCTCTTCAGTCTCCGTGGTTTCCATGGCCTCCGCGGCACCGGCCGCCCCTACTCCGGCGCCATTGGGCATCGCCATTGCAGGCGTCAGGGAGGGTGCAGTGGCTTCAGCCTCATGCTTGATGACTTCGGTAGGGCTGCCGCTCTCTGCGGAATCTCCTGCTCCGGGGCTTATCCCGCGCCGTCTGACGGATCCGAGATCCATATAGAGCGTGTGGTGGTATTCGGGGAACTGCCAACTACGGGCCGGCCAACCATCCTCCGCGTCCGCCGAAGGGCCGGAACTTGTCCACTCCCAGCGGCACGATCCCCCTGGCCTTCGGCAACCCTGTGGGTATACCTGAGGTACTTGTGTGTGGTGTGTGGTGTGTGTGTAGGCGCCGAAGCACACGTCTCGAGGGCAATCACCGCCGCAAGGCTGGGCTGAGCGAGCCGATCGAGATGTGCGTGCTTGGCAGCTAGGTTGGATGTATATTCCCCACTGGGCTCCGAAGTCTGGTCTAGACTGCTTAGTTCCAGCAGGACAGGCTGCGGTGACGCCCAGCCCGTCCTAAAAGCCTAAAGACAATAGTTCGTGGACTGTCTCTGTACGAGTACGCTGTACTCCGAAAGCCAGCAAACAAGGGGCGTCGCGCGAGACGGGAGACGGCTGCATGGGGGTAGTGGTGGAGATGGAATGGTTGGCGTCCTCGACCATCGGCTGGCACGGCTGACCTATGAAGAAGCCCTTGCTGAATCAGGCGAGCGGGTGGTCAGAGCCATGTTGCGAGTCAGGAAGCCCGCTAGCGATTGGCTGTGGCACGTGCTGTGGGAGGAACTGCAACGACTGATACTTTGAACTAGCTCGAAGGATCGAATCCTGCCGTGGCATCTTGAGCTTACTTGGAGAGCTGCCCGTCCAGGCATGCTCTAGACCTTGACCTGTCAGTAATCGAATGCTGGACAAGAGCGGAAAACTGTAAGATTAAGCACAAATGCCGGATTGGGGGTAGGCCGAGTAATACCGGTACTGGACTAATGCCGTGTCATGCCGCACCTCGTGAGACGGCATACCACCATCCTGCAGCGATTGTTCGATGTCGCCATTCGACGTGATGTGATTGAATGATTTTGCTGCTGTCCAATTGATTAGTGAAGAGTTTCTATATGCAACACAAATAAGCAGCTTGCTGTGTTCAAGGAGCTGCCTGCATGTCGGAGTCGTAAATGTCAGGCTGGTGGTGAGAAGGTGTCAATGTTGAAAAGCGAGAGAAAAAAAAGAGGTGCTTGGTGTTTAGGAAGTACATGCGAAGAGGTACCTACTTGTACGTAAGGTCTGCTACCATGATAGGGAGGTACGATGAAGCCTTTCTCTTTCCGCACTTGCGAACCCAAGTGACAGTGGTACATGGGCACATACCTTTAATCATATACGAGTACAGAGTACCTAGCAAGAGCAGAAACACTCAATCTCTACTAGGTACCTTAGATATAAAGAAAGCAGTAGGATGCAATATGGTCTGCATCCATCTCAACCTTGGAGCTTATAATTTGACAGAGGCATGACGCCCATTCAGTCGTATTCATCACGAGCATCATATACTGGCTCAAACTCGTGCCAAACAATACCCAAATACTCTCCCATAATTTCATTCCATCTCCCTAGCCTATTTCTTATTGTCGCAGTGCAAACCAGCGTCTCCCTGAAGCTGCTGCCCTGCTCTCTAATCTCACTTGTACCAGAGGTATCAACAAAAGTCATCATCATCAACAACAAATCGCATCGCTCTTTTTCAAGCGCCCCCAAAACCCTCCTCACCATCCCCCCATTACATAAATTATTCCGCAGACGCTCTGGCCAGTGCCTCGTGCAGATGCGGCGGGAACCGGTATCGCAGTTGACTCGTGTAAGTCGTCAAATCAAGAATCATCTGCTTCAGCTGCTCCACCATCATCCGTCTGGTGCCCTCGTTACCGCTGAACTGTCCATTGACTAGCTGCTCTCTTTGTCTGACGCAGCTGATGATGGTCCACATGATTAGATTGGGCACATTAATGGAGACTGGCTGTGAGAGACTGGAGAATTTCGAGGCGTAGGCACGGATTGTGCTGGCATCGCCGCCTGCCTCGAGAGGGAGGATATCCAGGCCACGAATTTTCTGCAAGCTTCATGTTAGTGACTTAAATTCTGACATTAAACATGCAATGTTGTATTGTAAACTTACGTCAAGGCATTGAGCCCATTGGCTAGCCTCCACCAAGCTCTTGATGCTACTCATCTCAAGCAAAACACGGCAGGCAATCTTGTTCTGGTCTTGGATGTTCCTGTAGAACATCGCATCCCGCTCGTACATGGTCATCATGGTTTTAGCAAGCTCGACAGGATCATCAATGGCTGCCAGGCTAAGGCTGCCGCCTTGTTCTGTCTCCTGATTGCCACCAGCCCTTGGCTTAACAGGCATCAGGCGCATCGGGTCCTCTCCAATCTCGAGAGAAATAGCTTCACTCAGGGCACGGCTAACAATTGCCACAACTGCATCATACTCGCCAGCAAGGTGATAGAGCAGCACGGAATCAGTAGTTCGGCCATTCTCGTCAGCAAAGCTGGCAGCTTGCAGAGTGACGGTATTGACAAAGTCATCCTGCCCGTCCAGACCAATCAACGGGCCGCGGCCCTCGATGATGCCCAAGATGCGGCGCCCATCAGGCCTGATATCGCCAATAAGCTTGCTGAATTCTCGTGTCTCCAGCACCAGCTCTCGTAAAGCCTCGTGACAGAGGCCGCTGTGACGCGCCCCAGCCTCTCCAGGAAGATCTGCGTTTAGGCAGATCAACGTGAGATAGTCAACGGCGGAGACGGCATCGGCGGCCCGGAAGTCCCGAGTGTAGTAGCCAATCATACGACCAAAGTTGATCTGCGGGAGGCTCTTGATGCTATGCGTGCGCAAGTCGTTGGAGGCAGACATTGGGTCACTGGGACGGAGCAGGCCGTAGAACTCAAGAGCCAAGCCAAAGTGAACCGCGTCCACATAGGAAAAGGGGTAGAGATAGGAGATGGCGTCCTCAAACATGCCGGACAGGATCTGTAGATAGAAGAACATGCCGCAGCTGCCGTTGTTATCGTCAGAAGGAGTCTTGGGAAAGTGCTTCTGGCCAATCTCTCTGATGCTGGCTTGCAGATCTGCCAGTCCGTACGATTCTCCGGCCATTTCCAGAGCTTTGTCGCCCTCTCTGGCCAGGTTGAACTGGAGCCAAATCCAGTCGTTGATGTCGGTGCTGAGCCCGTCTAGGTTGCGGTTATTCAGTTCAATCCGACCAATGACCTTGTAACAAGCCATGCGGAAGGGGTCGATTGTGTTCTCCGGGGCGTTGCGGGAGCGCTGGATGTATTCATTTGTGCAGCGATCGAGCAGCTTCCTGTTAGTGATTCTACGATCCTCGCTGGCGGCGTAGTTGTTGAGATACGTCGAGAACGTACGATCAATACCGCGGAAATGATTGCTGTTGTCGTTGACATATTTGGCAGCCTCGTTGACGTGGCCGGATCGAAGGAGATAGAAGACAATGGCCCAAACATACTCGCCATGGATTTGCTGAAGCTCGGTGTTGTCGGGGACCAAGTCCTTCCTGGCTGATCGGAGACGAATGTATGCCTTGATCTTGCTGGTGATATCGGGCAGACCTCCAAGCTTAGCCTCGTGAGGGTGCTTAGCAATGAGGGACTCCACCTCGCGAAGGAATTGCTTTTCGAGGAATGCGTTTGCGCCACTAAGGATACGTCTCCTCATCTCAACCGAAAGCTGAGAGTTGGGATTTTCGTCTAGGTACATCTCGGCAAACTGGCGCTCCTTGGCTGTAGCATTGCGAAGCGTCGTCTCGGCATTGGCGTCTTCACCAACTATCTCAATCATGGCTCGGTAAGCTTCCACAATGTGAGGCGCGTGGGGTTCGTGGGACTTTTGCTCAACCTCAGCCAACTCTGCCAAGATGGGGTAGGGTCGACCAAGCAGACGCGAAGAGTTAAGGCTGCGGACCTTCTCTGCCAGCTTAGACTGGCGTTCGCGAAGGGCCTGGTCTTCGTTCCTCGACTTGCTGGCGCTGTCTGTGGACCGGTCGACATCGGCGAAGTCGGATTGATGGGTTCCAATTCTCGACCGGGCTCCAATAACAGAGCGCTGGAAGGTCGAATTGCCAAATGTGCTGCTGCGAGCATCCCGGGGAGTGCTGCCTTGGGTCTTTCCGCGTCGGGATCGTCCAAATCCGCCCTGAGCCTCGCGACCAGCCGTGGCCGAGGTCTCGCGGGGCTTGATACCAAAGTGTTGATAGATGCGCTTCCTCTGTGCGTCCCACTCCATGGCTACATTGTCCTCCAAGAAATTGTCAAAGTCGCGGAGTGACCGCTCGAGGCCGTCCTGAATCATGCTGAGGGTCGTCTTCGTCTGCAAGTTTGACAGGTAAGTTTCGACATCGACATCGGCCGGGGCGAAGCCATGTGTTGGTCGTTCAGTTCGCGTGCCCTGGATGTCGAGCAGACCGAGGTCTTTGGCTGCAGCACTGGGATCTACGCCGGAGGCGGCGAGCAAGTAGTGAGCCTTTCCGTCAGCTCCCCCAGTCTGCTTCGACTGCAGCTTCCTCAACCGATGGCGCAGATCTCCCAGGCCTAGTTCTAGGCTAGGGAGATCCTCCATGTTGGAGTTCACGACACCGGCCTTTTGCGTCTTTGCAAAGAGGCTGTCAAAGTAGGCTCCGGCGGGCTGAGCTGCGGCGGTGGTCGTGTTGTTAGCAGCGGCCAGCGCCTGGCCACCCAAGAGACCACCCGCAAAAGGCATGCCGGCGGTCTGCTGAGCTGGAGCCTGAGTCGTCGTCGCGGCTCCAAAGAGAGATGGCTTCGCAGCCGTTGTGCCGCCGCCTAATGTGCCAGTCAGGGCTGAACCACCAAACAGTGATGGCTTCGCCTGCTGTGCGACGGCGCTCTGCTGCCCTCCAAAGAGGCCACCGGTCGTGCCGGCCTGTTGGGTTTGGGCCGGTTGCCCGAATAAACCGCCCGTGCTCTGCTGTGTTGTTGCTGTGTTGGAGCCAAACAGACCACCGCCAGTCTGCGGCGTGCTCTGCTGGGGCTGCGCCTGTCCGAAGAGGCCCCCCGGCTTCTGTTGTTGCTGTTGTTGTCCGCCGCCAAACAGACCTCCTCCTCCTCCAAATAATCCGCCTCCAGTACTCGGTGTTGTGGTGGTGGCCTGCTGTTGTTGCTGCGCGGGCTGGCCAAACAGCGATGGGCCGGTTGTCTGCCCGAAAAGAGACATCGCGGCGGCGTGGAGAACACAAATCAATGGGACAGTGAATGGAAAATAAAGCGAAGGAAAAGGAAAATTATGAATCCGTAGAGATGGAGAGAGAAGCCACGGCGAGCGGGCAATGGAAGGGCGGAAATGCTCGCGCGTTTGGCAAGACAAAAGATGTTGCGGCTAGCTGCGCGTCTGCCCACCTTTTAGAAATTTGGAACCTGGATTGGCGAGGCTGAGAAATTGGCTGGGGAACGGGGAGCTTTGGCCAATCAAGAGGGCCTGATGGGTGATGCGGCTGAAGGGTGGTGGCCAATCAGCTATCGCTTCAAGATGCTCGCTTTGAGCACAACTGATGAATTGAAAATCATGAATACTGCTGGATACTTGGGTAAAAAATAGTGTATAAACTGTCCAAATTTCAAAATTAAGGTCTGGTGCTCTCTATATGATCCTGCATTGAGACTATTCCAGGAGATAATTGCTGTAACTTCAAATTGCGGATTACTACCATGGCCATGAAGCAGTTACTCTAAGAGTATAGATATTATAGGCAAATAACTTCGCTATATTTGACTTTTCTCTATCGACAAGCAAATGCATAAACTCATTACATTACATATCCCAAGGCTAATTCTAGTTCGTCCCTCTCATGCTCTATCCGTGATTTCATTCATCGTCAGCATCAAACAAGGCTCCCCATTTTTCAACAGCGGTGTCAATCTTCTTTCGGTACGCCTGCTGCGCGTTGCACATGTCCAAGAAAACGTCGTACTTGGCATCCAGCAGCAGCTTCTCGCCAGCATCGGTGCCTGGCTGGACCAATCGGCCGGGTTTGCTCATGCGATCCATGATATTCCACAGCGTCTCGGGCTCTGAGCCATCGTTGCGGTTGTGGCTATGCGCCTTGGCGCCCAGCATGGCAGCTCCGTGAACGACGGCAGCATTGACGTATCGAGGAATCAACACTGGCATGTTGCACGTGGTGGCCAGGAGGTTCATCAGAACGGGGTTCTGGCACTGCGAACCAGACATGAAGATGGATGAAATCTCGTGGCCGGACTTGTTCATCTGCTCAACAATCTGGCGAGTCTGCATGGCAATGAACTCCATGGTAGCATAATACCACAAAGCCATGTTGTCAGTGCTCTTGTCACTGTCAAGACCAATCATGGAGCCTCTCATCTTGGCGTCTGCAATTGGTGAGCGGTTGCCCCACAGATCGCCATAAAAGAAGTGGTGACGGCCGAGATAAGAAATGGCCGGAGCATGATGCTTCTCGGCGAGATACTCAAGATGAGCGTTGAGAAAGTCGTAAATGTGCTTGTCTTCGGCCTTGGCCAGAGCCATGGTTTCGTTGTACGCGGGATGAATGTCCAGCATATGTCGTAGCAGCTCTCCCGTTGCGGACTGGCCACCTTCGGCCATCCAAAACTCAGGAATCAGCACATCTCGGTAGGGACCCCAAACGCCAGGGACAAAGACGGGGTTCTTGGACATTGCCAGATGGCATGTTGAGGTGCCTGCGACGGCGGCCAGGCGAGTAAAGGCTTGGCTAACATCGTTGTGCGGCACATCACTCTTGAGTTCATCCTCGGTCAGTTCGACCTTGGCACCGACAGTGCCAATCCATCCGGCGTAGGCATCAATGACACCGCTTCCGACGGCGATGCCTTCTGGCAGGCCAAGCTGAGAGGCGGCTAGGCGACTAAGGGTGCCCACGCACTCGCCAGCACTGGCATACTTGCCGCTCTATCAAACAATGCATTAGCTAGGGAACTCGTTTTGAAATGATGTTACTGCAGCCAAAAGTGGAATGCAGCAGGAAGCAGACAGTCTATACGCAAAAGAAAATAGGCTCACCACCCCGTCGACGCCGCCCATGCGCTTGAAGTCATCCTTGACCAAGTCACCCAGGCCGATCTCGTGGTAAAAGTCCTCCTGCCAGCCCTTAACACTACCGTCGACGCCCACAGGGACAAAGCCCTGCTTGCAGACGGTGCTGCAGAAGCTCCGCGTCTCGTTGCCGGTAGCCAGATGAGTGAGAGCGTCTGCCAGGTCGTAAAACTTGCAGCGGTCGAACAGCTCCGGGGGCATGCTGTTCTTGAGCCACAGAACCTTGGGGATCTCCATCTCAATGCTCATCTTGCCGCCAACATACTTGAGCAGCTTGTGGCCGGTAGCGTTGATCTTGTCCGTCTCCTCGACTGGACGGTGGTCAAGCCACAGGATGACGTTGCGATCGTTGCCATCATTCTCGAATTTGGGGCCCGTGACGGGAATGGGCTCGTCGTTGTCGTTGGAAAAGACGGCCAGGGAGCAGGTAGCATCAAATCCAATGCCCTTGATTTGGCTAGGGTTGACAAGTGACTCCTGCACGACGCGGCGAACGCATTCACAGATACATTTCCAGATGTCTGTTGTGGATTGTTCCTAAAGCCGAACAAACATGGAAATGTCAGAATTAAGCGCCCATGCAAGGAGGATTTTAGAGGGGCCAATCGGGGGGCGTTGTGGCCATGCATACGTAGTAGCCGTTCTCGGGCTGCCAGAGCTTAATGTTCTCCGAGGCCAAAGCCTTGATGTCACCGGTCTCGTCGATGATACAGGCCCGGGCAGAGCCGGTACCGACGTCTATGCCGATATAATGATCCTGCAGCGGCAGATGTCAGCTTTATGGTCTCGTTCTCAGTATCCTCGGTCTGATGAATGGTGTTGAAGGTTTCAGCTTTGCCAATTCCGTTCTGCCATAGGGTTGTGCTGCTTGATAGCTCTGTATATCGGGATGTTGGGCCGGAGGGCTGGAATGGGGGGTATGTAGGTACCTGAACATTGGGAGGCCTGTCCATGATGCCGGAAACGAATAATTAGCAAGAGATTATATAATGACAAGAAATCGACAAGGAAGAAGAAAAAGCAATTGGACGTATGGAGGAAGAAGTAGAGAAGGAGGAGGAGGAGGAGAGGAAAAAGAAAAAGATGAGACTCACTCCATGGCCTTTATGGGCTTATTGTACGCGTACATCGTTGCTTCGGCTCCCAACCAAGGTTTCCCCGCTGATTCTGGTGGCTCAATCAATGGATTGAATCTGGACCTTTGCAGCAAGCCACAGACTAGGTCGGATTGGAGGGTAAGACAGGACAAAAGATGGTGTATCGTATCGAGGAGCAGCGAGGGGTTCGGCAAAAAGAGACATGGAGCGAAAGGGACTGCCAAAAGACAAGCCGACACTCCCCACCGCCTTGACTTGACAGACTGACCCGGACCTAGGGGCGTGTCTCCATGGCGCCAGATTGGAGAGACGCCCAGATGCAAGAAACGGGCAGCACCTTTGGAGCCAATTGGGGCGGATGCAGCGATTCTCGGGAGCATAAGAGGGGACCCAGCGTAGGCTCCAGCATTTCGTCCGGGTTTTAGGTGCAGCAGGCCACTAACATGCACTAACGCATTCCCCATTGCCCCGCTGGAGGACCCTAATTGCCCCTCAACTCCAGTGCTAACAGGGGGCGACTTGCGCTGTGCATCTCGGAAGCGATCCCCTCCATCACGCATATTTTTGGTGGTGACGGCGATCGGGTTGCCACTCGAGCCGGAAATGGATCTGATGAGCAGGACTATATAAGACAAAAAAAAGGAAAAAAGTAAAAGTTGGAATGAAAAAAGGGTCTGGTCCCATTGACATCATCCATGATTTCATAGTGGAAAACCCCAGAGACCATTCATTAATAATGGAAGCCAAGAGGAAGACGAAAGAAGACTCCAAAACGAAGCAAATGGGACGATACAGAAAAGTTCCAGTGGCCCTGATTCCCAGCATCCACTCTGAAAATTCTCCCCGTCAGCAGGCACACCCAAAACCGGAACCTCACGATAGTCTGTCAGTCTGTCAATTTTCCCAACTCCCGATCCCTTCCATCTCCCCCCACCATTTCTTTCCCTTAACTCGCTGCCTAGCGATCATCACTCGTCTCCTCCGCTTTTCTGGGGCCCCCTCAGCGCCTATCGAGAGCCACGGCTGAAGAAGCGCGCCCAGCCCCTGGTGGCGTTTTGCAGAGAAGGAAATTCTCTTCTCGTAATGTCGAGAAGCCCGGTTCATGTCATCCCACGCTTTAGGTGGCTCCGATTGCGGTGCGTGAGAGGCGAGATATGGATCACAAATTCGGATATGCTCACGTCCCACGTCTCTCCAACAACACGATGTGTTAAGGGCATGGCACTCTGCCGGCCGCAAGCAGCATGTCTCTCCTGACGTGGCACAGTATGGGGAGAACCAGCATTGACATTTGACTATCTCACGATGCCTCAAACAACATCAGCCACGCTCGTCGGCGGCCCATCTGGCGCCGAGCCCCTCCTCATGGCCGCCTCTCTCTCCCTCTTCATCATCATATCACTCGGCACGCTGGCGCTCCTGCTCCTGCTCCTGACCATGGCCAGGCCCTCCTGTCCCATCTCTGCCACCGCAATCGCCTCCTCGTTTGCCGTCTCGGGATCTCCCGCATCCTGCCCTGGGTTGGCAATCTGATACTCCAAGCCCTTGAGCAAGCTATACACGCTGAACGAGAGCAACGCCCCCAGGCACGGCCCCAGCCAGTATATCCAGTGATATCCCCTGAAGCTGCCCGTCACCACCGCGGGGCCAAACGACCGCACCGGGTTGATGCCCGTGCCGGTGAAGTTGGTGCCGGCCATGTGCGCGATGAAGACGGAGACGCCGATGCCCACGGGCGCGAGGAACGTGGCACGGTGCTTCTCCACGGCCAGGAAGTACACCGTCAGTACCAGCTGCGCCGTCAGGAACATCTCGATGAAGAGGCCCTGCACGATGCTCGTGTTGCTGCCCAGGCTGTTGGTCACGCCCAGAGGGCCGGGCAGCAGACCTGACACTGTCGCTGCGGCCGCGATGCCGGCGGCGATTTGCATTGGCACGATGATGAGTGCCCGGAGGGGCTTTACGGCCCCGACAAGGACGAGTCCTAGCGTGACCTATGTCGGGCTTATCATCAGCATATATGCATACTTGAGGCCATCTAGGTAAGGTTGAAGGGTAAGAAGGAGATGACGATAACCATGAAGAAGATGAAGAAGAAGAAAAAGGACAAGCACAATCTCACCGCAGGATTAAACATGCCACCCGTCACTCTATAAAACACCCACACATTGACGGCCAGCGCCGTCCCAAAAGACGACGCAATGTACAGCAGCGTCGACGCATCCAGCTTCCCGCCATCCGGCCTGTTGTCAAGAGCTGCCTGGGCTCCCATGAAAGAGAGCAGCAAGAACATGAAGGTGCCGCAGAACTCGCCCAGGCCGACGACCAGGGCCGTCTTGAATGGCCCCGAAAGCTTGTGAAGGCGGCTCGCCATGATGAGCCGAGGGGATGGGGCTCAACTACTGCTCTGGTAATGTAATGTAATGATTCGTGATGTGTTTTTCGTAGGATGGAGTTAATAAGTGATCAGAATGGAATTTTACACCTCTTCCCACTCATCATCCATAATAACAATTTCCCAACCTCCCATCTTATATACCCTCACATACAACCATCCGCATCATGCACATCAACCCTCTCAAGTAAGTAAACTCCGATGTCTCACAAAAAACGCATGTAAGAAATCACACGACAAATCCACATCGACACGACACATATCCCCCTTCCGCCAAGCCCAAAACCTGCAAAAACTACATAAGAAAAAACAAGTATGAAATGGGAGCCCAACGGTCCTCGTACGAGGCGTAACCTAACTACGCAGTGTCACCGTCTCCTTTGAGTAACAATCATCCTCCGTTGCTTCAGACGGCCCGTCGCGGCACAAGCATGATCCATCTTCTACATACATCGTCGATCTCAGTACTTGTAAGAAAAAAAAAAAGAAGAAGACAAAGAACAAGAAAAGCATTTCACCGTCCAAAAAGCAAAACACACAGAGTAATTCCCATTTTATAGCAAAAGTCCATGATTTCACTTTGTCTCAGCTTAGACGCCGATATCTTGTCCATCAGAGCATCCTCTCCGCAAAACCGTGTGAATATCCTCTGCGGGGTGACGTCGAGGGCTTGTGCGCGACATCATCCAAGCCCAACAACCGTCGCTGCCATTGCCATCGAATCGACGCTGGCCGGATATCAGCGGACACGTTGATGGTTGAGGTGTCTTAATATCTTGGCTAATTAATTGATATTGTGGCAAAAGGCAGCAATGGCGTGTTTCTGTAGTCGTACATCTTGAGAACATGCTGTGCCTACACACAGACGCCGCAACCTCGTCTGCTTACAACCAGTGCTTTCGCTGCTACTATCAAATTTCAGGAGCTCAACTCCATCGTCATGCATTGCTATATCTTGGCCCTCCAATAGTAAACCCATCACAGGTATCATCACCAAATAGTGCTCCAATCATTTTCCGCTCCCCCATATTGCAGTTGCTCAAGCAAAACCGCGATGCACCTCGTAGTTTGTCTAACCTCTCAATCTTCCGATAGCGGCAACTTATAAACAGAATAGGAAAAATAATCAAGCTCAGGTAACGTCGTATCATCCGTACATTCATAATTCATCATTCATGGTCATCGTGTGGCTGGTCCTCGACCAGGATTACTACCGTTAATGTCGCCGCATATGCTTCTCTGATAGCACAAGCCATGCTGTAGTCCAAGTCAGTCAGCCAGTCACCTCTAGATAGATTCGGAGAGATATGATGATCCATCGGACATACCAAGTCTTGTGGACATCCGCCACTACTGCACTGAGGCCCCAATGAGCGCACCAAGCTCTCGCCAGCACCTCATTGTCTCGAACACCTACTGCGTCCACCACAAGCACCTTCTCATCGTCGACATCCCTATCAACCACGGCATTTGCCGCGTCGGCCGCCGGTGGAGGGCTCGAGGCGGCGCTACTGGGCCCAGAGTTCTGGCCGTCCGCTCCATACAAACCGCCCCAGTTGCGTATTTTGATAATCTCGTCCGCCTTGACGAGCTGGTATACATAGTCGTAGAACAGGGGGTGTGGCCCTTCCGAACACGGCCACGCGGAAATGAAGCTTACGTCGTACATGAGCCGTAAAGGCCAAGAAACGCCATCAATAGCAAATTGGGCTTGGGCATCGAAAAGCCGAGGGCTGGTAGTGTTGCTCTCACGACCCGTGGCGTTAACTGGTTTAAAGCTCAGAAGCTCCATCCTCACTGCGTCCACCATGTACCTCGCACCATCGAGCTCGGGTAGCTTATACTCGCGCACAGGATATGCATCTGCCCGCGGCCCTAGCGCATCGGACCGCGTACTCATCGTCTCTACGTCCTCACGGGTCATTCGTTGCTTCGGCAGCCTGGTTCGGATGCGGGCAATCTGAGACCGGCCAAGCTCCGACGTTGGCCTGCCAGGCCCGACCCAACCTGCGACCGAGTGGCATGTAGGGGCCAGCACTTTACCCACAATGCAGCTTGCCGACCAGTATGTGTGACTATTACGATACTGAAAGCCAACTTGCGGGTGCGTATGTGAAAGCAGGGCTAACTCATTCGTTGCCGGGTCTGGGTCTAGATCGATGAGCGTGTTCATAATGAGGAACGAGAATGTCGGCTGTAACCTTGTTAGCAACGCTGTCCCCCTTCTCCCCTCTTTTCGTTCTTTTGCCGTCATATCAGATATTACCACTTACTCCAGGAAGTACAAGTCCACTAAAGTAGGCAAACGCATCTGAGCTTATGGAGTCCAGAGTAAATTCCTCATCCTTCTGATCTAGGCTTTCCATTGTTTCCCTTAGGTTAGGCCATTTCATGATCTGAGCAAACTTCTTGAGCTGCTTTACTTGGCGCTTCTTCAGCTTATATCGCAGTTTCACTATAAAACACACACTTAGCCTCAATTCTCTCTCACGCATGCAGGAACAAAGTCGGATTTGCCTGTCTCTGTGTTCCGGAATAAAGAATATTGTGGAAAACGCAATGCACCGCATCGTACGTACCTTCCTCGGGCGAATTGCCATACGCATCCACTCGGACATTCTCACGCCACCGTCTCGCAAGTGCCAGATTCCATTTGATCGTCGGGGGCATCTGTTGTAGCAACTTCTCTTTGGCCCAGTCATCGTGATGCTGCGACTGAATGCGCAACTCCAGCTCGAGGCTAAGGAGCAGCTGGTGGAAGAATTTGTGATACTGCTCCCGGCTCTCCTCGGTGGAGCCATCAAATATGAAGCGAGTCACGACCTGATTTTTTGGCTCGGTGTAGTCGATCCAATCAGGGCGTGAGAGCGCCATGATCAAGTCGGCAATCTGCTTGTCCAGCGTCTTGTGTGGACTTAGAAGCCTGTCGGGATCTCGCAGGAAGCGTTTGTAGAGAGATCGGTACAAGAGGCTCAAGTCATCGTCCTCCAAACCCAGCTGCAAATCCTTCAATCGCGTAAAGATCTGCTCCAAGCTCACCTCTCGCGGCATGACACCCGAGTCCCTCAGCGGAATCTTGGATGGAATATTGCTCGCCGCGGCGGCCCACTGATTAAGCGTGATGGTGCCGCCCAGGCGACCGTAGTAGAAGGCGTAACTGGGCTGCTCTATCGTTTCCCAGGGATGCGATGTGTGTCCGCTCGCCTGGATCCTCATTGTCATGAGATGCGACATGGCATCGTGCGGCTTCGCAACATCGGTGCCTCCGCTTCGGGTCTTGGAGCTTGTCACGTAGAGCACATAGTGCTGATCCGATGCGTGAGGGATCGCCTTCTTGCGTCCCTTGTAGACCGGCGCACCGTGCGCAATCAGCTCGAGGGCTTCCTTATGTGGCAGCTCCTCATGGCCCGACATCATCGTGGGCGGCCATCGCGCATTCCCGCCCCCAGGTGTCGCATGCGCCTCTGTGGCTTTCTTGCTCCTGTCGCCAGCAGTGGCAGTGGCCATGTCCATGTCGGCTCCGCTGTCTCGCTTCCTGCCAAAGCTCGTCTGAAGTCGTCCGGACAGCGACTCATCGGCTCGTCGCCTCGTAGCCGAGGTTCTGGGTGAGCGCCTGTGAATGTCACTGCCACTCCCGCCGTCGATGGTTCGGCGCCTGCGTGGCAGATCACGGCGAGCGACAACAAGACTATTGCTGCCCTCGCTGAGCCTGCGGCGCTGCTTCTCCTCCTGTTCGCCGTACTGCTGCTGCGGCTGCTGTAGCTGCTGTAGCTGCTGCTGGAACGCCTTGTCTTCGCCGTCCTCTTCCCACTCGGCTTCTGCGTCCTCACGCGAATCTCCGCGCATCAGCAGATCCTGATACTTGCGCACCACCCTCGACCCTCGCTTCATCAAGCTCTCCCCGCGCAGAAGCCCTCCCCAAAACCTGGATTTTTCCTTTTTCTGCTCCATCGCTGTCTGCCCTTTCCCTCATGCGAAACCCACCCGTCCGCTTTCCGCTAAACCGTTTCCCCAATGGCGCTCTCTCAGGTGGTGGTGGTAAAAAAATCTCACGAAAAGTCGGTCAATCTCCCCAGGTTGGTGCGAATACAGCAGCGCATGGCCAGCCAGCTCGTTTCTTTGCTCGGGCTTCTTTTCTTAGCTTTCTGTCGGTGGCGAAAGCATGATAGTCTGGATCGAGCTGGACATGCAACAGGTTCGCTCAGTGACGCCCTTGAGTCCTGCTATGTAGTCGCAGCCCAATACTCGGTGGTTGGGAGTAAAGGGAGGAGAAAAACAGGTGACAATGGAAGCAGAGGCACAGGCAATTGAATGTCAAACAAAGGAAGGGGGGGGGCAAAAAACGAGTTGAGGCAGGACGTACATATAACATGCCACAATAGCCGCCCGCGCCTACCGGTGAACCAGCATCTGACAAAATGAATTCCGAGGCCACGCTATTGCTCTTCTTTGACAAAGCGCTTGCAAGGGAGATTCAATAATATGAGTGCAAGTGCCACAAGAGGGGGAAAATAAAGACAAAGGGAAAATGCCTTTTCTTTGTACTGGAAGCACTCGTGTGCACGCATTTTATTCATTCATTGAGCCCTGTTTCACTACCTACACGTAAAATACTGCGCCATGCCTGCGACAATAGGCCCTCCCTCCATTCATCCAGCATAGCATCAAACCGAATACCGAATGCGCAACAGTTGAGATGCCCCAAACCTCCAGATCCTCAGGTAAAAGGGTAAAAGAGCCATTTTGTCGGGCCGCTACAGAGCGCGAATGGCAGCAGCATAGCCCCCATACTCGTGGCTCTTCGGTGCGACATCAACTGCATGATGCATGCTGCATTGCATATACACGCTGCATATGAACTACGGAGTCTTGCAAGGAAGAGCACCAGACGAGACATGGGGATACCGTGGAATGCTACCCTGATCACCTCCTCCTCCACCCCGGCCCTCTCAAGGCCCTCTCGAGGCCCAATCACCACCGCCATCACAGACCCCAACGCCGCTTCCGGAACGCCGCTGGTCACACGGAGCACAGGCCGGGATGCCATAACATCCAGCCCAATTATCTATACTGTACTATAAGCAGCGCACGTTATAGCAGGATTCCGGACATTGCACCGCAGCTTTTGTACAATATATTAGGTAACATCTCGTGGTCCTATCACCAGCGCTAAACAAAATAATACAACACTCTTGCCCCCCGTGACAGGATGGATGACATTAACAAGTACAGCCATATGCACTATAAACAATGACAATCTGGCCCAAAAATTTCTTCAACACCAGGCGTTGGGTTTCCCCGGCCTCATCGCTTTTATACAAATCATGTATCCACCATACATATACACCCCTCACAACTCGTCCGTAATCGATACACCGAGGTGGCCATTCTTCATCTTGGCAAAGGCCTTTTGATACTGCATCTGCTGTTAGCCTCCATTCAACACCTCATCTATCTGATGTGCAAGCGTCGTCTTACCTGAAGAATGAAATTGACAATCAGCGCAACCATCATGGCCACGCTGATGATAATCGGCCCAACCATGTTATCAAAGTCTTTGCCGCTCCTCTCCATAATCATAGTTCGGCGAGATTGCAGGATGCTGTAGCCCCATATGCCCGCAAATCCTGCAATGGCAATATACGTAATTCCAATCCACTGTGCAATCGCATTGTCTCCAGCAGCCGAGTACAGCGCAAGAGCCAGAGTGCCTTGCAGGATCGCAATATGCTGCCACTTGAGGAATGTTCGTTCGTTGGCCAGCCACACCTTGGGCTCGACCTTGAGCTCTCCCGTGTTCTTGATCCACTGTGAAGGTTCCACCACGCCCTCAGGGAGACGAGCTTGAGCTCGCTTAGCAATGGCATATTTGGAGAGGGATAGGCCTGGAAGAACGGATGACAGAGTGCCGTAACCTGTTTGCGCTTGGGAACTGCCCTCGCCTTCTTCTTCCTGGCCTTGGGGAGGCTGCCTCTGCCGTAAAGATCGGGACAAGTACGCCGTGGCATCAGCCGCCATGCGGTCAGCAAGGTATGATTTTCCAACAGGTGAGCTTTGTGCCGCCTTGTAAGAGCTTGGCACCGTTCCGATAAGACTTCCGACGGCCATAGCGTCATCGGCGCGCTGAGCCCGGCGCTGCTCCTCCTCTTCAAACGCCTTCTGTGGGTCCTTGCGGATATCGGTCTCGAGATCACCAAGCCAAAAGGGCAGGTTGTTCACGTAGTCATCGAACAGAGAGGCGACGCCGTGGACGAACTTGGAGAAACGAGGAGTTGGGTGCACCAGATGTGAGCCCATCAGATCCTCAACCCAGGATGGCCGCTTGCGGTTGCCGTCCTCCTTCAACTTGATCTCCAGGACAGCGTAGGGAAACTTGGAAACCTCGCTCTGGTTGATGTTTTGGAAGGGATACTTCATGTTGCTGTTGTCGATATCAGTTCGGTGCCACTCATTGGGGTCTCGGCAAGGTCGGCTCTTGTCCAAGGTGTCCTCGCGGATAAAAGCGAGGTCGGTGTCGATAGAGATGCGGACGCGGTCATCAGCAGGCTTCTGGAATGCGGTGCGGACATAGTTGGCTCTCAGCACTGGCATCAACTTTCTCCTCTGTTGATACTCCTGGACCCTGGCAACAGTCGACTTGAAAGCTTCAATCGCCTCTGGGGTCTCGCCCAGTCTCTCCATCTTTTGGACTGCCTTTTCCGTCGAGTACTCTCCATTCAGGAATTGCTTAATATATTTGTCCTTGATCGTGAACTTGTACTCTTCGCTCTTGCCGCTGGCATCGGCCGCTTTTTGCTCAACAAAGATTTCTGGCTTGGTACTCAGTTGGCCGTACCATCGCAAACGTAAAGAAGTCACTTCCGACTGTTGTTCAACCTTTTCAGAGTATACCTCGAACTTGGAGTTATCGAAATAGAGCGAGGTGATGGAAGGTGAGTCAGAGCCGTCGAGCTCCTTGGCGGACTTTTCGCTGTAGACGAGGGCGGGGAGTCGACGCAGGATTAACGTCTTGACTTCGAGTAAGTTATCGGGGTGCACCCAGACTGTCAATTGCATGTTAGCAAAAAGAAGAATAGCTTTTATATAGAGAGCTGTTTTATATAGAAGAGAAGAGGCAAGATTTCATCAGCTGGTGCGCCACTTACACTTGTGAGCTGTGTATCGCTCGCCGTTGTGCGTCTCTGACGACGCCTCGAAATCGACCGGTGCCTGATCGCCCTCCTCCAATTGCTGTCGAATGGCAAAATACATGACGGACAGCTTATTCAGGAGAGGCGAGTAGCCCTGCTCCGAGTTGAAGGGGCGCTGAGCCAAGCTGAGCTGCATCATCGGCCGCACTTTGTAGCGATCACCCCTCTTTCGGTCATGCTTCTTGACAATCTTGAGGAAGCTGGTGTAGTTGATGTTGCTGTACTTCTTCAGGCTCTTGACCTCATTGGTGATCTCGTCAAGCTCTTTCTCGAGATCCTTGAGCTTTGGGGCCAGCTCTTCGCGAGCTAAGCCAGCCTTGCTGCTACCTTCGGCAGCACCGGCGTCGGCGCCAGACTCGGGAGGGGCAAGTTCCTTGAGCTTCTCAAACGTATCATCGACTCTCTGCTTCAAAGCATCGAAGCGCTCCTGTTGGAATTGAGCGACCTTCTCAAGCTGGACATTGAAGATTTCGTCGCAGAAACGGCTCTCATCCTCCTCGGTCCACACGGTCTCGTCATCCCTTTTATCCTCTCGCAGGAGGCTTTTGAGCTTGCCATAGTCGACATACTTGTCTTTCCATGGCGGGTATATTGACTCGCGAAGGGTCTTTCCGAAACGCATTTCGCAGGTCTGCTACGGAAGATCAATTCCGTTTCAGCAGTCAATTAGATTAGATTAGGTGGTATGTGTCGGTTCGTCGCCTCCCTTGATGGGATGGGTCGACGGCAAAATTTGCCTGAGCTGGTGCAGCGGTGAAACGTCCCAGCTGCGAATTGAGCTGGTATGCAAGAACGGATGGCAATCGAAAGAATTGAAATGGAAAATAAACAAATGCCCAAGGCAGATTCGGAGTTTGCGGTGAGAAAAGAGCAGAATCAAGGTTTTGCCTCGGAATGATCTAAGGAAGGCCAAAGAAAAAATTCGAGACAAGGCGCGTCCATACGAAGAGCACATCAGCTCGTCTAGATCCGCCACACGTGCTTCCAGGCCTTGCCCATGGCGGCTTTGCCAGCTGCGAGCTTCAGCGCTATCCACTATATCCACAGCACTAATCTCATGCTACAGACCGCTAGCTCTGCCCGGGAACCAAAGCAGGAATAGCCACAATCCCCACTTGGACTCCGTGCCGTTCCAAGTGCAAAGCGCCCTAACTAGTACCTACATTTGACGGGATTCGGTGGGCTTTTTAGTGCATTTAACAACTTTGCAAACCTATCATCACTCCCTAATCAACACGTGCCGTCTCTCGTTTTCTGCCAGAAGCAGCTGCTGCGCTGGAGCTACTGCAGCAGTTGGTGCGATCGGGCAAAATGACGCAGGCTGCCCCGCAAGTATCCTCGTTTGAACCGATTGGACCAGAGCGGGAAAAATATGGATAGAAACAACAAAAAAGGCGAGAGCTACCTTATACGAAGTACGACGACATTGGGGGAAAACAGAGTTCAGGCTTGTCAATAGTTAGCAGGGCCTTCTGAAATATGCCCAATTAAATCATCAGTGAATTGTGAGGTTATCATCATCATCAATTGATGCAATCAATGCATCACCTGTAACCCAGTTGTTGTTCCTCAGGGATGGCAATTGACATGGCAAAACTTAGCACAGAGTACTCCGTACTTTGCATTAAAATACGATACGACCACACACTGAGCGAGGTATCAAGATTGTTATCATAAGGCTGTGGTATCATTGCTACAGATATAGATATGAAAACTAGAAATAGAAAAACGCAACCATGTATGCAGACTATCAGTTACATGAGCCAAATATTCAATAAAAACACCATGCTTCATAACTCGTTCCATGCCCCTTTACTGCGCTGCAATCTTGGTGAAAATCTCCTGCGCGGTTCGCTTAACAATACCGCCTGTCACCGGCAAGTTGGTGCAGGCCTCCAGATACAAGTCCACCTCACGAGCCGCCATACGGCCCTCGTTGATACCCCAAACGATGAGAGACTGGCCACGACGAGCATCACCAGCAGCAAACACACCCTCCACATTGGTGCTGTACTTGCCAGGAGCAGTCTTGACATTCTTTCGGGCATCCTTCTCAATCTCGTCTCCAAGAACGCGAGCCTCAGGTCCCAGGAAGCCCATGGCCAACAGAACCAGGTCGGCGGGGAAGAACTGCTCGGAGCCCTCAACCTTCTTCATGTCCCAACCGCCAGAGGGGTTCTTGGTCCACTCGACACGAACTGTGTTGATACCCTTGACCTTGCCACTGCCGTCGTCGACAAACTCCTCGGACATGATGCAGTACTCACGAGGATCCTTGCCGTCGTGCTGGCGGACCTCCGTGTGGCCGTAGTCGACACGGTAGATACGGGGCCACTGGGGCCAAGGGTTGTCGTTGGCACGCTCATCCGGAGGCTGAGGCAGCAACTCAAAGTTGGTGACAGACTTGGCACCGTGGCGGACCGAGGTACCAATGCAGTCGTTACCGGTATCACCACCACCGATGACAACGACATGCTTGCCCTTGGCCGAAATGTAGGAGTTATCGGCAAGCTGTGAGTCGAGAAGAGATTTGGTGTTCTTGTGAAGGAACTCCATAGCAAAGTGGATGCCCTCCAGGTTGCGTCCCTTGATAGGGAGGTCACGAGCCACGGTGGCACCGGTGGCAATGACGACCGCATCGTTGCTGGCCTTAAGATCGGCGAGTGAAGGCTGGCCATCTGCGCCGATGGCCACACCAGTCTTGAACTCGATGCCCTCGGCGGCCATGAAGTCGGTTCGGCGCTTCACAATTCGCTTGTCCAACTTCATGTTGGGAATACCGTACATCAAGAGACCACCCAAGCGGTCGGCACGCTCATATACGGTCACGCTGTGACCAGCTCGGTTGAGCTGATCGGCAGCAGCCAAACCGGCGGGACCAGATCCGATGATGGCAATCTTCTTGCCAGTGCGGACCTCGGGAACTCGGGGAACCATCCAACCCATCTCGAAACCACGGTCGATGATTGCACACTCAATTGACTTGATACCGACGGGGTCACTGTTGATGCCCAGAACGCAGGCACCCTCACAAGGAGCAGGGCAGACACGACCAGTGAACTCGGGAAAGTTGTTAGTCATGAGCAGACGGTTGAGAGCATCCTGCCACTGGTTCTGGAACACAAGCTCATTCCACTTGGGGATGATGTTGGAGATGGGGCAGCCGGTATCAGATTGACAGAAGGGGACACCGCAGTCCATGCAGCGGGCAGACTGGTACTTGAGCTCATCCTCATCGAGACGGGAGCTGATCTCGGCCCAATCCTTAGTTCGGGTAGCGACAGAGCGGTATTTCTCGGTACGACGAGCATACTTCATGAAACCCTTGGTCTTGTCGAGCACCAGAGCCTTCTTCTTCTTCTCAGCCGAGCTATCTCCAATAGCCTCCTCCATGTCTTGGAGCTTGGCGGCCTTGTCCTCCTTCTTGCCGTGCACACCGGAAACTGCAGGAAGGTTGTATTCGGCACGCTTGGCTTCGGCAGCCTTGGCAGCCTCCTCTTCCAAGACGCGCTTGTAATCCGTTGGAAGCACCTTCACGAATCGAGGCAGAGCACGGTTGAAGTCAACCAGGATACGAGCAGCCCGCTCAGATCCAGTGTAGTGGTGGTGATCTTCGATGAGACCGCGAACATAGGCAATCTCAGTGGGATCCTCAAGAGGACCGTACTCAACCATTTCAGTGTTGAGCTTAGAGACGAAGTCCTTGTTGATGTCCAGAACATACGCAATACCACCAGACATACCGGCAGCGAAGTTACGGCCAGTGCTACCGAGAATAACAACTCGTCCGCCAGTCATGTACTCGCATCCGTGGTCACCAACACCCTCGACAACAGCCGTGGCACCGGAGTTGCGGACAGCGAATCGCTCAGCAGCGACACCACGGAAGAAGCATGTTCCACTTGTCGCACCGTACAAGCAGACATTGCCGATCAGGATATTCTCTTCGGCCTTGAACACGGCAGAACGAGGAGGGTAGACAATCAGACGACCGCCAGACAAACCCTTGCCGACGTAATCGTTGGAGTCACCCTCCAGTTCGAGAGTAATGCCGGGCGCGAGGAAAGCACCGAAAGATTGGCCGGCAGATCCCTTGATGTTGACATGAACGGTGTCAAGCGGCAGACCCTCTCCACCATATCTCTTTGAGATCTGGTACGACAGCGACGTACCCATTGCACGATCAGTGTTGACAATGTCACACTCAATTCGAGAGGGAAGGCCCTTGTCGAGAGTCAACTCAGCCTCAGAAATGAGCTTGTTGTCCAATCGGACGTAAAGCTTGTGGTCCTGCTTGCGGACGTTGAAGGTAGCAACGCCGGGTCGGAGCCTGTGGGCGGGGGTCAGGAGGAGAGACAGGTCAATGTTGGCAGTCTTCTTGGTGCGCAGGTCATCTCGCATCTTGAGGACCTCAACACGGCCAACCATCTCGTTGATGGTTCGGAAACCCAGCTTGGCCATGATGGCTCGGAGCTCGTTTGCTACATAGTAGAAGAAGTTGATGACGTGCTCAGGGGTACCAGTGAACTTCTTGCGAAGCTCGGGGTCCTGTGTAGCGATACCAACGGGGCAGGTGTTCAGGTGGCATTTGCGCATCATGATACAGCCCATGGCAATCAGAGGAGCGGTGGCGAAACCCCACTCCTCAGCACCCAGAAGACAGGCAATGGCAACATCTCGGCCTGTTCGGAGCTGGCCATCAGTCTGCACCACAACACGACCACGCAAGTCGTTGAGAACCAAAGTTTGGTGAGTCTCCGCAAGACCCAGCTCCCATGGGAGACCCGCATACTTGATACCAGTCCATCGGGAAGCACCGGTACCGCCATCATGTCCGGAGATCAAGATGTGGTCAGCCTTAGCCTTGGCCACACCGGAGGCGACAATGCCCACACCGACTTCAGACACAAGCTTGACAGACACGCGAGATCGAGGGCTCGAGCACTTTAGATCATAGATCAGCTGCTTGAGATCTTCGATGGAGTAAATGTCGTGGTGAGGAGGAGGCGAGATGAGACCGACGCCGGGGGTTGAGTGTCGCGTGCGAGCGATGGACTTGGTGACCTTGTGTCCAGGAAGCTCACCACCCTCACCAGGCTTGGCACCCTGTGCCATCTTGATCTGGAGCTCATCAGAGTCAGCGAGATAAGCAGACGTGACACCGAATCGACCGGAGGCGACCTGCTTGATAGCAGAGCGCATTGTATCGCCGTTGGCCTGACGCTGTGATCGCTCGGGATCTTCTCCACCTTCACCGGTATTAGACTTGCCGCCCAGTCGGTTCATGGCGACGGCGAGCGTAGAGTGAGACTCCATAGAGATGGAACCGTACGACATGGCACCGGTGCAGAAGCGTCGGACAATGTCAGTCCACGGTTCGACCTGGTCGATGGGGACTGGGTTACAATCATCAAACTTGAAATCCAACAGACCACGGAGTGTGCAAGACTTGATCTGCTCGTACTCGCTTCGCGAATATGCCTCGTAGGACTTATCATTCTTGGCACGAACTGCGTCTTGCAGGTTGGCAATGGCAGTTGGGTCGTTGACGTGAGCCTCGCCGCCGTCGCGCCAATGGTATTCGCCAGATTCCGGGAGGGCTTTGATGCCGACAGTATAGCG